CCCCAAAACCCCAAAACCCCAAAACCCCAAAACCCCTATCTCACAATGTATGGTCTTTATAAAATATCATTTACACATAAGATGTGAGCTTCGAGCTGAGTTCATTTATAGAGGAGTATCTCACTCCTAGTGGTGTCTTAGAGCTGTTCAAGAGTCTTGTATTCCTCCTATATCAAACAGTTAGCTTATTAGATTAAGTCCACCACAGAAATTTCTAATTTAAGCCTCTAGAATTTGGGATTATGGAGTTTATCAAGGGTTTTAGGATATCCTTACTCAGCAAAGTTCTTGATAGACTTGTTTTTACATATTTTTAGTATACCTAAAGAGTTAATCACCAAGAGTCTTACTCTTTTTAATATATGGGCTCCTCATCTCAAGGCTGGAGACCGAGTCAGGCAGCTTCTTGTGACTAGTTGACTGGATAATAGCTTTGTTAGTAATCATTCTTTTTAATTCTGAATCTCGATGAGTTTCTTCATCAAGATCCCTGAGTTCCTTCTTGATTCCTTTAGTCAAGCGCTCGACTGAATGTTTCTGAGGAGATACAATTTTGCTATTGATCTTGATAGGCTTGAGTTTTGAATCGAAAAACACTTTTGATTTTAACTTTATGTCTGGAAGATTCGTCCTTGTTTCAGTAGTTGCATCAGTCTAGAGATAAATTCATTATTATACCTGACTAGGATTTGACCTTGAAGAATCCCTCGCACTTGCCTGAACTTTGCTGATAAAACTCTCCCTAATTTTTGATGTGAGCTATATAAAATTTATTCGTTTTTAAGAACAGCAGCAAAATTAATAATATGTCGGGTCGAACAACTGATATCATCAAAAACTCTAAAATCCTTTAAAGCAGTACCTTGATGGGCTTGAAATCTTTACTGGTGATTTCTACCAATTTGATTGCATTATTCTTGTTCTCCTGGATCGCATTCTTATCCCTTAGCAACTGTGGAGACACTGGGACTCTTTGGATAAACTTGTTCTCCTGTGGCACCATCTTTGGTTCTCTTTTTACCACCTACAAGGTTAGATATGTATCTCAAAGTTGGAACTAAGCATTGAGTAAAAATGCCTGTATCAGAAGCAAATTTGCACTTGCTAAAGACTTTTTCAATACTCAATTCTTTCTAATGGCACTTACTGGCTTTCCCTCTCTTTCGGAGAGGACATCGACTCTTTTCTGGAAAGATTGGTCTGCTAGTTCCTTCATCTTAAAGTAAGTATTTTCAGGAGTCAGTCACTCTTTGAGATCATCCTAGAGGACAAAGATAAGTCTTATTAAGGCACGAAGTCTTACCTCCCCAATTTCGTTCCTTATAGAATATCCTGAGGAGACTGATGGGGTCCTTTTGATTGCTTTTGCAAAGAACATGGTCGGTAATTTCTTCATTGGAGACTATGGGGGTTAAGCCTGATCTCTATAGATCCCTTACGTATGAAAAATACGGGTCGTCTTGTGACTCTCAGTCATGGATGTTTATCACAAGGTCATCTCTTGAGCACAAACTGTTTTGGAGCTTGAATCTTTTTGTCTTTGGCAAGCTAGCTGAACTCTCTATGAAGTGCTATTAGGACTAGAAATAGAGAACTGTGTGATACGATTTAATATGATAATGGGCCTCCTGATCGTGATAGGTGTTAAAGAAGTTGATAATTTTTACTTTAACAAATAACTCTTGCACTCTTACTTTTTATTGAATATGAGAGTTATAGTATAAGTATATCATATTTAAATTTTCAAGAAGTCTTTATAATACTGTGAAGATTGTTTGCAGGCTTATAAAGTACCATATAATTCAGCAGAAACATACCTAAAATAAAAAAATATATATCTGGAAGTGAGATATAAATACCGAAAAATATGACATATCAACTTTTAAGGATGTTTAAAAATTAATAACTTTAAAAACATCAAGGTAAATTACTGAATCTAAGAGTACCACAATTATTCAAAATACTGGAAGGTTAGAGTATAAAGCTGAGCTTACTCATTCATCAAAAGTCCATCCTCTTTCTCTATGACTAAGCACTAACCCTAACAATTTCCAGGCATTAGTAAGTCCCAGCTCCAATAATCCTAGAAGGACTAATACCTCTAACCTTAAATTCCCTATCTCAAACCATAAAATCCTAGACTCTATGAGTATGCTAATATCGGCATAATTCAGGACTTTTTCCTACTTTAAGCAAGCTGATGAAAAGTGGGAAGTCTCTTATTCCCCAAGAGTTCTTCTAGAGATAAGATTCATGGGTTATCTTCATAAGTGAAATAATTACTAAGGCAGAAATGGCTTACCATATCTTGGGATAAGCGCCAAAGAGACTCCTTTATGGATCTTTTTCACTGATGCTTGTCTTCTGATCTTCTTTTCTATACAGGCGTAGTTTAGAATCAGTTAGGCGGATAGTTCGAGTATTTAGATGTAGAAGGTCAGACTTCGAGCTTGGAACTAGCATAGGAGTATTGAGGGATGAACTCCTACAGTTCTTGGAAGCCTACCTCTTTTTCTTGCTTGGTTAATGATTTCTTCGATTGGATTTTTCTTCAAGTGTTATTGCCTAAAATACTTACTTTAACAGCTGGCTTAAAGTTAGAGACATAATCTTTGATTTTAAGCGTGAGATCATGTAGCTTCCAGTAGAACTCAGACTTCTTCGATTGGTAGTTTGATGGGTCCAGAGGGTCTAAATTGGCAAGGTTAAGGATTTTTCAGGAAGCGAGAGTGGAAGAAGAAGACTCAATGAGGTTATAAAGATACTGAAGATATGGATGATGCCTTAAATAGAGAGAACTTTAAGGTTAATTTCTTGGGATCCATTAATAATTATTTCCTATCAGAAATAAGCCGCATAAAATACGAATAACTCCTTTCTAATGGCTCTTAATTATTTTATGGACTATTAATTACCTGAAGAACCTCATAATCAAAATAAGGCTCTGAATAACTTCCTCAGTATCCATTAAAAGGGTAAATCTTTTCCACCAAGTATGGTTCGACTAGACTCCTAACTATCAGCTCTACAAATATTTCAGCATCCCGAAATTTAATTAAATAATAGCCTAATCTTATTGGAGCAAATTTCTAATTATTAGAAAGTTTGTTGCCTGAATCAGGTCAAGATCTCGAAAAATAAATTTATAAGGGCTTTAATTCAGATCCCTTCAATAGGAAGTAATCTTCCGAGTTATCTAAATGTCTTGAGCCGATGGATGCCATAAGATCTATTGGGAGGAAAAGTATCTCAGATTTGGTTGGCCAAAGAAATATTCAATCAACATAATAATTCGATGTATTAGGAGATTCTTGTTAACTCCCTTGGAGGATTTGTAGTTCACGCACCATTAGGGTTCTGGTTCTCTCAATTCTCCCTTGCTTCTTTACCGAAAGAACTTGCTTTCTGTGAATATCTTGATTTCTTGCTAGGGGATCTTCTCCTTTTTGCACTTATTAAGCTTCCATTAATACCTGAATAGTAGTCATTAAAACTAGAAAATGAGGGAAAGATAGGCGTTCTTTATTAGAACTAGTTTAAATAAATGCAAATTTATCAAAAGAGCCTTCTAAATTTTGAAACAATAACCTAGACGCTCTGAATAAAATTGTTAAAGTGGATAATATAAAAGTGATAAAACCTCTTTATACATAATTTGTGCATATCTTGTCAGAAGCATTCCAGCTTTGTTGAACACCCATATCTAATCCTTTAACTTCTTATTCAACAGCCTAGAATGTATATCTTACTAGGTGTTATAAGCCCTGCGCCATTCTTTTCTATCTTAATCTGTTTTTTAGATAGCTTGTGAATGAATTGCTTCCTGTCCATTTTTATTCCCAAATATTAAATTATTCAGAAGAGTCGCAATTTCTTTTGAGCCTTCTGGGGTTTTGGGGTTTTGGGGTTTTGGGGTTTTGGGGTTTTGGGG